TTCAACCCGGATCGGCCCGCGAAGGACCTTAACGCCAGAAGATGGGCGGTGAAGCCCAGTTCCGCTTCATTGAATAAGTAAAAAAACGATAAAGGTAGTGGTATTTCACTGGCGCCGGAGCTCCCACCTATCCTACACCCCATATGTCTTTTCACAATGTCAAACTAGAGTCAAGCTCAACAGGGTCTTCTTTCCCCGCTGATTTTGCGAAGCCCGTTCCCTTCGCTGTGGTTTCGCTAGATAGGATTGACATGTCATGACATGGAAATTCCGAACCACGAGATTTGCCTTACAATTTATTATGGATATTGGGTGGACGCTGAATAATTCGGTCCTGGTGATGGTTAGATTTTGCGGCCTGTGCCTCTCGCAAGCAGTATGTTTCGTAGGGTGGGGAGGTTATCCGACTAAGAGACCACCAAAGGGACTATATACCTCGCACTGCCAGCGCATGTATATAGCGAACCTTGCGGGGTAGATAGCCTCTCCGATAATTCGATAACCTCTCCATCCTCTATGTATAAGTCTTGTGCGGCTATCCGGAGAACCGGCACCACTGCCCCGAAGCTCTCCCGTTTCAAGGTGATAAGGAATAACGTCGGGCCGATTAGTCAAGTTCCGCGGATCCGGCGGCATATACCGGTGTGTACGCACATTTAGATGGACAAGCACTCAAGCAGTCAACCAACTGCGTCTTCTCTATGTACCTGTAGATAGCCTGGTCGTAGCTTATCCTGTTTATTGATTCCTAATACATATCCCGTTCGCTTGTATACTGGACCCTTCACTCTCACAGTAATTTTAGTTTGATATTCCAATCGCCCGTATGTGTCAACTACAGTGCTCGATGCAATGTCTTAGGCACTATTCGGAGTGAATAGAGGAGAAGTTTGATTGAGAAAACTATCTGTCGTAAGGCGTATATCTAGATAAACTGGCGGCCATCAAGCTAACTACTAGGGGAAATCAATGCGAAAGAAGTTGAAAGAGACATAATATTCGTCGGCGATAATAAACGGATGCTGGCTGCGTAGTCGTAGTCCCCCGATCCTATCATCTCTCCATATATCCCCCGTGGATACAATCAGGTATAGGTAAGAAGTACGTCCTAGATAGGCGGGAAAATCAGGTTCTGATTGGTCAGAGTAGCGAGCATATCAATTAGCCTTTAGCGTATACGGAAGTCAACGGTATGTAACTAACTTAAGACTCAGGCAATGACGTCCGCTGGGTGCAACATTGTCACATATAGTGGGATTCCGGTGCATTACTTGAGCTTTATAAGAATATTGCGCCACGCCAGCTTCGGCGCAGAAAGTCAATGGACCTTGGCGATTTTCAATTTCCAGAGCAGTTGCACACGGCTTAGCACGTCACAACTGCACTGCCCTGTGCTTGGTAGTACCATTGCGCTGGGGGAAACGAGATGCTCCCAAAAAACTATCTATGTCAATAGCACTCAAATTTGCTGATGGCTCAAAACAATAATACTAATATGACGAGACTTGAAATAACAGAATTCCAATCTCTCTGCACTTGGCCTCTGATATATATACTGATAACAAACAATTATAAGTGGTATATAAATATAATTTAAAAAGGCAGATATTTCCGGATCTTTTGGCCTATCCAGCTACCTATCAATAGTAATTCTGATCTGTGTGGAGTTTATTCCTCTGTAACTCTATATTTTGTTGTAGAACCTGAGCCTCCGCCACAGCATTTGCGTAACCAGTATTTGATATGCTTAACAGTAAGATAAACATGCGATTAAAGTTCCTCAGTTAGATCTTATGCTTCATCACAATGCTGTTAATGGAGACCCAGTGTGACTGTTTGGCCTCAATCAAGGATATAGGGTTATGCCAACCCTTGGCATCGGTTGATTTCCTGCACCCTGTTTTTGGCGCGTGCCACGCTGTCAGAAATGATGCTGAAGATTTTATCATTCGGAGAGGCGGGGCGCGGGGGTCCGTACAATCCTGCCCTAAATGGGCATGGGAAATGATATAAAAGGACCTACATCACCTCAACCTAAAATGAATTTGAAGTGATAACAAGACAGAAACACAACAAATGATAAAATGGCAGTCATGGGCTCCAACGGTGTCAACGGTCACTGCAACAAGATTGATGATGAGCAGCAAATGTCTGGAGCAGCCAAGCTGCGAAATATGTTACAGGAATCGAATGATTTGATTGTTTGCCCTGGTGTTTATGATGGACTTTCCGCCAGAATAGCGCTAAACCTTGGCTTCGAGGCCATGTATATGGTATGTGTTCATATCCCCAAATTGGAACACTGTGACTGAACTTTTAGACTGGTGCAGGAACGACAGCGTCACGATTGGGTAAGGCCGATCTAGGTCTCGCGCAGCTGTATGACATGAAAACCAATGCGGAGATGATTGCTCACCTTGAGCCGTTTGGACCACCACTGATTGCAGATATGGACACAGGCTATGGCGGTATGCCTTGACTCGCTAGTATACTGGACAAAGCTGACGAGGGAAGTAGGTCCCTTAATGGTGTCACAAGCCGTGCAGCAGTACATCACAGCTGGCGTTGCAGGCTTCCACATTGAAGATCAGATTCAGAATAAACGTTGTGGACATCTGGGAGGCAAGAAAGTGGTTTCTCTTGACGAATATCTCACTCGTATCCGGGCGGCTAAGAGCACCATCGATCGGTTGCGATCAGACATTGTTCTAATTGCCCGTACTGATGCGCTCCAGCAGCTTGGCTATGAGGAGTGCATCCAGCGTTTGCGAGCTGCTCGTGATGCTGGAGCAGATGTCGGCCTTCTCGAGGGATTTACCTCTATAGAGCAGGCAAAACAGGCTGTTGAGGACCTCCGTCCATGGCCGTTATTGCTCAACATGGTTGAAAATGGTGCTGGGCCGGTTATCACGACTCGGGAGGCTGCGGAGATAGGATTCCGAATCATGATATTTTCTTTTGCCTCCTTGGCCCCAGCGTATTTGGGAATCCGGACAGCACTGGAGCGTTTGAAGAAAGATGGGATTGTAGGCACGCCAAAGGGATTGGGTCCGCGGCAACTGTTCGATATCTGCGGTTTGGCAGAATCAATGCAAACTGATATGGAAGCCGGAGGAGTGGATTACTGTACTGTTTAAGGCTTGGAACTGCTATTTGTGCTATCAGTATTGGGTAATGTACTGTCGATCTCATTCTGCCTCTTTGTATTGTTAGTATTCTTTACTTTAAGCTGAAATTGATTGTTATAACCTTTCATCATTTAATCACTGCCACGCGACTTTCTGTCCACGTCATATTGATGAAGAGTTGCTACGGTGTGCTACATTGGCAAATTGCTGGGGCATGTGACAGTCTCGAACAATATAAATTTATTGGTAGACTCTCTATCGAAATACTAACATGGAGAAGGAAAGAAAGAAGCTGGGCCTGCCAGCGCTGCGCTATCTAGTGTGCGAAGGGGGTTCCTGCCCTATATTCAAACAGGCCAAAGTTTACAAACATCTTGCGTTGTTGGTGAATGCCCGTACTTCGTGACAGGGCCTTTACTTTTTCTGATGTCACTCAATACTGGCGTTTTAGTTTGGATGTGACCAAAGAAGAAGGGGAAAACTGTAGAATGTTGTCCCCTCGCTTCCTATAAATTCGTATGCGTCTATATCTTCCAAGGGTAAAGAAATGAGGGCCAGGGCCTTCCAATCCAATGGTTTTGGTAGTACTTTACCCATTCAGCGTGCCGAGCCTACTGACCGCTATGCCGGGGGCTTACTCTGACGGATATGTCAGGCCGATACCAGCGGGTTGATATAACGAAGCGAAGAAGGACGAAAAGGGAATAAGATGAAGGAAAAAGGAGAAAAAAAAAAAAAAAAAAAAAAAAAAAAAAAAAAAAAAAAAAAAAAAAAAAAACACACGACGGTTGGATACTGGCTACCGGATTATACTGGAGTATGTAGTTGATAGATTGAAGTAGGTTACCTATTAAAAGATGGAATACATCGGTCCTGACCGAAGACAATATGACGCACTTCCGGTAGTATATTGGGGCACACCACTAAGTATCATCACTGGTGACATTCAGCACAGCGCTTACTATTGACGACATCTTCAGAAAGTCCACTTTGTTGTACGAAGGCATATTGCAAAACTGACCGCCATATTTTACGGCGATACTGCCCGATGTGCGTATGCCGAAGGACATCATTATAGGGTTCTAGCATTATATAATCATGACTTTTTTGCCATAGTATAGAGACCGACCCTGGTTGAGATATGGATGGGCGCCATGTTATAATTCGAGCCCATTACGGAAACTGTAGATGATAGGACGGTGTCCGAAGGAAGTATGCGGGAACATATATGAAAGAGTGATCTAATACCAAAGAAGCAAAGAATTGAATCAACTGAATAAATAGGATACAGGAGGGTAGTATGTCGTTAGTTCTCTTCTCGATTTCCGCCAACATCACAGTATTTTCCACTCGCACGTCCTCCCTAGCTCATCAGTCAGTCGTCTTTTGGATAAGTCCAGGTGCTATCTAATAACTACCAGCAATAAAGAGACTAGAAGAAAAGACGGGGCGCACGAAAGCATGACACTAGAGGGAAGAGGGAAGACCATAGGTTTATGTACAGAATTAGTATACAGGTGGAGGACATGGTTATAATTATAACTCATTGTATAAACAATGTATCTAAAACGTTCCGTACAGCTGCAAGGGCAGACTCTGTTTGAATACAAATTGACATGTACGTGGAGAACCTTGGGAGATGGACCAGGGACTGTAGTCGCTTACGTGCACGGAAATGGATGAATAGATGCGCGGCTTATACGTTTCGTGCTCTGTACATAAAATTCTACGGCACTACATTGCGATGGTGGGTCTACTGTAGTGCCTTCCCATCTGCAACGTTCGAAACCCGTAATGATCCAAGTTTCCCATGACTTGGAACGGATCAAGAAAAAATCGTGGTGCTTGCATAAGCCCAGCCACAGCCTCCCAGTTGACTTCGCGATCCAACCCTTGGTCTGTATGCAGTACCACCACACTACATCCGGATACCGTCTGGTACATATCATCCATCACTGTAACACCGGAGTTACAGTCCACGCTTGTCAGGATCTCATGTCCGGTCATGTACGGGTCGTAGATGTGCACCGGGATGCCGCGTTGTACAAGCGACCGGACGAAACCCACGCCGGCTAATGTACCCTCTCCGTTTGAAAACCCCAGCAAAGCCACGTTTCCAGGTTTATCGGGAAGACACGATGCCACGCGATGTGCGATAGTATGGTTCATCGCATCGTTAACTCGCATCACGCACAGCCAGTACTCGGCTACCTCGGGCAGGCCGAGTTCTTGCGCCAAGTACACGAGACAGTCGACGTCTCTACGCAGACCGTCTTGGTCTGCGTCTAGTAATCCTGCTTCGCTAATGGCACGGATTGTCAGACGCGGGTCCGTCGCGACTATTTGCGAAACGTGTGGTCCACTCGCATCAGTCCGGCTACAGATGGAGCTCAGAGCGTGGAAGGTGGCACTTTGCTGTGCAAGCATGGCATTTGTGGCTATTTGGCCCAATTCTGCAGACCAGATGTCTGTGGTTATAATGCGTTCTGGGGAAATCCAGGAATATAGCTCTCTCAGCAATGCAGCCGCTTCAGCGGAATGCTTGTCGGCCAAGTTACCAATAACAACACGGGTAGGATGTAGAAGATTGCTAATAATGCTGCCCACGACAAGAAAGTCAGGGTTGGCAACAAGATCGAATGATGCGGTTGTGGCTTTATCGAGCTACCTCTCCATGTCAGAATGCATATATATACAGATACCAGATACATACCCGTTGGCGAATGGCTTTGGTATTACCCCGTCCTTTATAGACTATAACTTTGTGGCCTCTCGAGATTTGGGCAATGGTCCGAACGGTCTGCAAATCAGCATATTTTCTGACTACGTGTATAGAGAACTCACATTGGTATCCGTGTCGCCCAGAAAAATCATATCGGCCGCAGCAATACAGCCAGTCACGTCGGTGGAAAACACCACATTTGCCAGTCGTCTTTTCCGATGTACCTCTTCATTGTACAGAATCTCGTCTTTCTCCTCCACAGCAGCATGATCAAACAATAACCTATCGACTCCCGGCTCCGAAACAGGGACACAATCCGAATTCCATGCTGCAATGCGTCGAACATCGCGATCCACGACATCAAATTGCACGTCCGGATTATGCTCCGCCAGAACCAGAGCTGCTAACGCCGATACATTTTCTCTTGTACACAAAAAGCATGCGCGACGGACTTTTTGGATGCGCTTCGGCTGCTGCGTCGACTCATCGTCCGTACGATCGGTGAAGGTGTGACCATTGACGATCACCCGACGTTGGGACTGTCGTCTCGCGAAACAAGCGACATACCGGCGACAAGAGACGAGGCAGTAGAAGCCGACTAGCGCTGCAAAGATAAGTATTGGAACCATGGTTATACCTACGACTCAACATGATAACAGTCAGAACATCAACAAAATAAATATCGAGATGGGACATTTTATTTTTAGGACGACGTTGATGATGTATGGCAGTGATGCGCGACGTGGCAGCGCTTCTGTGGGTCTGCTGAAGTGGCATCGCATGTCAGATAGAACAGCAAGCGAGTATTGACTGGAAAACCAAGTGATAGCGCGGCATGGTGAATGTTAGGCTTGTGTTGGCGCCCTCGCGTATAACTACGGAATGTAGCTTACATTCTAGTTGAAGTATCCGCACGCGAAAGCTACGAGATACATCACACTACAGTGCGGCATGCATCAATAGCTAATGCAACCTTGTCCTCATCTCATCGCCCGTCAGCATCGATAATCCACCAAATACACCAATCCAAACCAAACGATATGCCACTCATTGCCTGTTTCCACGGCGGCGGATCCAACGGCGAGATCTACCGCCAACAATGTGCCCAACTCGAGCGACTCCTCGAGCCCGAATTCCGCCTGGTATTCTTCGATGCCCCCTTTGAGCGCTCTCCGGGTCCTGGCGTCCTCCCCGCCTTCCGTGACTATGGCCCCTTCCGATCATGGTTTACGCAGGACAATGCAGGAACCGAAATATCCGACGGCAGCGGCTATGATCGGATCGGGCGGGATGGGGTCGAACGGGTGTTGGATCTGATGGAGCGGCAGGGAGGCGCGGAGGACTGGGTTGGAGCCATGGGGTTTAGTCAGGGAACGCGAATCGTCGGCGGATTGCTACGCGACCAACAGCGGCGAGAAACTCTGGGCGAAAAAGGCAGGATCCGATTAGCATTTGGAGTGTTTTGCATGGGAGGGGGCGCGCCGATGGAGGCAGAGAGCGGCCATCGTAAGTCATTCTTCCTCGGGACTGAAAAGAACCGAACTGGAATACATATTAACAAAGGAAGACATCGACGCGTCGGATTCGTTTGATCCCATAACTCTGCCCACGCTACATGTCCACGGGCTGCGCGATCCATTTTTGCACCTGGGTGTCCAGCAGACCGAGACGTATTTCAACCCACAGAGTCGGACGGTGCTCGAGGTGGACTATCACCATGCCATGCCGTGGGTTCGGAGCGAAGTGCAGCAGTTGGCCAGCATGATTCGGTCTTTGTATTGCCCATAATTTGCATAATTTGTGCAAGATACGGTCGGGCGATATCCGATACTTCATACCGCTTTCTACATTGGTATCCAGCGTCAGTCGTCAAGCAATGAACACTCCATACTCGATCAAGCATTTGTCTTAAGTATATATACCCCGGTTTTTGGCGAGCCAGAGGATCGTTTATAACCGTGTCGTACCATAGGATGGTTGTATTGGCTGCGGTCAGTCCATGTGGTTAAGATCCGGTCTTCTGCGTACTCCGTACAACATCCCAAATAAGGGGGGATGGATGGATCACACGACTCGGGTTCACTTCGTATACTACACCATCGACTGATAGCATCCCATTCCAAATAAACGGACTTGATCAGACAGCCGGTCGGTGTCTGTCTACAACGACATGAGCTACCTGTAACCTTGAAGCGAAAATGTATGACCGAGAATGGAGGATTGGAATTCCCGTACCCTTTCTCTGCTTTCTATGGTCTCCAGGAAGATAATATCCATGGAGTACGGACTGACGATTTGTCCATTGTACTGTACCTCCGAACGGGGAGCACATGGCTACAGGCGAAAGCAGAACGATTGACAGTCGGGCGAATTTTCCGCCCTTACCCCCGCGGTTAATTTATTTGACATGCGGCTGCCCGTTGGGGAAATACTCGATTGGTGCATTCGGTTAATAGCAATCAGCCGGAATTCAACGCAAATAACCGACTGGTTCTGGATCGTCGTCTTGGTTTTTACCCCAGGTCTCGATCCCCCCAGACCCCCACAGCACCTCCGCATTGCGATACAGCCTAACCGAGTGGCACGACTGGGCTTTATATATCTCAGTTCTCATCGAGACAGAAGATGTCGAGCAGCAGTTATGTATCGCATTTCCAACATCTATGGTACGTCTGCCATTTTGCATCCGATAGCATGTCACTGACGCTTCGCAGTCTTGGCGGCCTTTGGCACCATTGGCGGTGCCTTGTTTGGTTTTGATGTGAGCTCGATGAGTGCCTGGATCGGGGCCGACCAGTATCTGGAGTACTTCGATCATCCCGACTCGAACCTGCAAGGCGGTATCACGGCGTCCATGTCGGCCGGCTCGTTTGCCGGAGCCATCGTGGCTGGGTTTATTTCTGACTATCTGGGTCGTCGATTGTCCTTGATGATAGCATCGGCGGTTTGGATCATCGGTGCGGTGATCCAATGCAGCACACACAGCGTGGCCCAGTTGGTAGCTGGTAGAGTCATCAGCGGGTTGGCAGGTATGTTTCACGTTTCTTCCCAGCGAAAGCAATCGTCGATGCTAACTGATTAGTCGGCGTGACGTCATCGCAGGTTTGTGTCTACCTGGCTGAACTGGCCCCGGCGAAAATCCGCGGTCGAGTCGTGGGCATCCAACAATGGGCAATCGAATGGGGCATCCTGGTCATGTATCTCATCGCGTACGGCTGTTCGATATCCGTGGCAGGTCCCGCGGCTTTCCGGATTTGTTGGGGCGTGCAGGCCGTCCCTGGTTTGATCCTCGGCCTGGCGCTAATCTTCTTCCCTGAATCGCCGCGATGGCTTGCCGGGAAAGAACGCTGGGAAGAATGCTTGGATACGCTGGCATTGATCCACGGTAAAGGCGATCGCAACCACCCGATGGTACGTGCGGAATTCGAGGAGGTACAAGAAGCCGCGCGCGTGGCGCATGAGTCGCAGGATATTTCGATATTGGCTTTATTTGGGCCGCGTATCTGGCAGCGGACCATGTGCGGAATCAGCGTGCAAGTGTGGCAGCAACTTCTGGGAGGAAATGTTGCCATGTACTACGTTGTGTACATTTTCCAAATGGCTGATATGGTAAGTGCATCTGAAATGGCGTTCGTGACCCAACTAACACTCAGTAACAGGGCGGCAATCAATCTCTAACCTCGTCCATCATTCAGTATGTCATCTTCCTGGTCACTACTGGTGTCGTGCTGCCGTTCATCGACAAAGCCGGTCGTCGCATGTTGCTCCTGTCCGGGTCAATTTTGTGCATGGCGCTACATTTTGCCATCGCCGGTACAATGGCAACGTATGGACACTACGCCGACTCGGTCAACGGTAACGAGAACCTGCGTTGGGTGATTGCCGGCGCACCAGGCAAGGGCGTTATTGCCTGTAGTTACATCTTCACTGGCATTTACGGATTGACATGGGTAAGTTTTCAACAGAAATATATGCTGTATAAGGTACTGACTCCTCAGGCTCCAACGGCTTGGATCTACTCATCCGAGATATTCCCTCTAAAGTACCGTGCCAAAGGTGTCGGGCTTTCTGCTGCGGGCAATTGGATATTCAACTTCGCATTGGCTTACTTCGTAGCCCCGGCGTTTACCAACATCCAGTGGAGAACATATCTCATATTCGGGGTCTTCTGCACCGTGATGACACTGCATGTTTATTTCCTGTATCCGGAAACGGCGCAGCGGTCGCTTGAAGAGATCGATTACGTGTTCGATACAGGTGTCAGGGCCTGGAAGTCGCATGACGTGCACGTTCCTCAGCGTGAGCAGGATGCGAAGAAGACAGAGGGAGTTGTTCATGATGAGCGTGTTTAGCTTAGATCTATAGCGTTGTGTGGGTCATTATAGTGCTGCGAGATCGAAATGTTGTTTACCGATTAGACTTATGGCGAGTCCAGGAGCCGGTAGCGAAATCGGAAGTCAGCACACTATATTGACTTCGGCTGCGAGGTACGTAACATTTACTGCTTTTGGTAAACGAGCCCTAGTCGTATACATGCACATTTGCCACTTTACAATGTCTTTCACCGACTGTCCGACCTGCTTTCGTCGCCTTCTGGACAACCGAATGTGATAACACATGTAGCCTGTGTCAAGCTCTGGGTAATCTGAACATGCGTAATCCGGCGAATGTAACGAACCAACTAGGGCTCGTGCGTGATTCTGGTGACGAAACGATATCGTATACTGTAGAGAATGTCGATGCACGAATATCGCTATGATAACTAGTATACCATTTATGTTGGCATCATGAACATGTCGGGAGCAATACGAGTGAATATTCAGTAGATTCTGCTTTTCATGGTGATGTTCTGCTCTGTCTCTTGTCCAGAAGCGAGACTGCATGATGAATCAGTGCCGTACGGGGACCACGAGGTTTCAACAATGAAAGGTGGGATCTACGATAACCGAAGAGATGTACGCTGCTATGAAGAATCAGTCAGGAATTGAGACGCAATGCCGAGTTTTCAGTATGTTTTAGTATCATCCACGCAGCTCACGAGCAAGTCTTCGCTCTGAAGCTGCGGTGAGATTACACGAAGTCACGGTAAAGAGACTGAACTCGAGCAGCGCCTTATAACTTGGTTCTGCTAGATGTTGCGACTTGTTGGAGAGCTCCGAGTGAACCTTAAATTGGCTTTGTGTGTAACAACCTCGGTACATGATATCAACTGGGTTCTCGGAACCTGAAACCCGTAGCTAGGTCATCACAACGCTTTGGAAACACCGATGCCTCCGACTGAGATGTTGTGAGAAGGATTTGATGTTGCAATCGAACAGAAGGGTAAACCCGATTCCACCTTATATATATATCGCTACCACACTGGCATTGATTTCTTTCTTTCTTTTTTTTTGCAAAACCGTGGGAAGAACTGATGAAGCCAGGGACTCATCAAGCTCCGTACCAGGGACATTTCGTAATCTATATAGGAAAAACATTCAGAAAGGCTCTATTATAGTATTCTAGCATGATTTGTCTCAGGTTTGTACACCTATTTACCACTTATTTGCTTAGCCTTAGAATATTGTCTTCGTAGCCAAGCGGCTGAACCCCGTGGTCCTTATGTTCGAACCCGCCGAATACCTTTTGGGCTTAAACTCTTCAGCTAACCATCGCTTGTCGATGTTGCAGTCAATTTTGCTATTTGGCATCGCTTTCGGCTCACTTTCTGTTGCTGCTGCTGCTGCTGCTGTTGTTGTTGCCGTCTTTAAATTGCTTTTTTCTTTTCTTTTTTTTTTTTTTTTTCGTGCCCCGGGAAGACAACCTATACCATGCTGAACATAACGAAGAGAGGATAACGCTGAGCTACTTCTCCTGATGCTGATACAGAAGCACATCGTTGAGTTGTTCCAGTCATTTAGGGAGAAATGGAACACATCTCGCCTGGAATCCATTTTCCGAGTGACTTCACGGTATAAGTACAGCCCAGCGGTACTGTATTCCTAAGGTAAACTGCTTTCTCAAATACATGATGGCACGCCTCTCAAACAAATTGGCCATTAGCACTTCGTCGCTGGGATTGCATCCCTCCCACATCCTGGACCAGAAGATTCAAGCGGCTGCCCAGCATGGCTTCGAGGGTATCGAAATCGTTTACGGAGACTTGAAAATATACAGCGACCGCAACAACCTGTCCGTGGCCGCCGGTGCCGAGAGAATCCGTCAGGCGTGCGAGAATCATCAGCTTGCAATTCTCGCGTTGGTTCCTTTCGAAAATTACGAAGGCAGTAAATCGCCACTCCAGGATCGATTAACCGTCGCAAGCCACTGGATCAACATCGCGCGTATACTTCGTGCAGCCTACATTCAAGTACCATCGCAATACAATCACGATTGTATCGGCGATGAGACCTTGATCGTTTCGGAGTTGCAACAGTTGGCCGACCTCGCCAGCGCCGCAGCACCAGTTATCTCGATCGCATACGAGCCGATGTCATGGGGAATCCACTATCCAACATGGGAGTCCTCGCTCCGACTAACAGAACTCGTCAAACGGGACAACTTTGGAATCTGTCTCGACAGCTTCCATGTTGCCACAAAGCTGTGGGCAAGCCCATTTGAGCCGTCAGGACAGTATCCCAACGGCGCCCGTGATCTGACCGAGTCCCTATATCGGTCAGTCACGCAAATCCCCATGGACAAGCTTTTTTACGTGCAACTATCAGACGGTGAGCAATTCGACCCGCCATTCTCACAGGCGCATCCCTGGTATGTCGAAGGCGAGGCGCCAGAATTCACCTGGTCCAAACATGCTCGACCATTTCCACTGGAGACCGAACTGGGTGGATACTTGCCATTGGGCGAAATAGTGCAGGCGTGGCTTATCAACAAGAACTATACGGGCTGGGTGTCGCTGGAATCTTTTGACCGGCGGATGCGCGATGAGAAGTATAGACCAGAAACAGCGGCAGCTCGAGGCCAGAATTCGTGGCGCAAACTTCAGGCACTGTCATTTGGATCGGAAAATAAAAGCAAAATATAATGGCAAAGATTCTCTTATAATAAATGAACTACGCTGAATGTTTACTATCATCATTATCTGCCCGGTATAAACCCGGCTCAATAACGTAGCACGGTACCGCCAGCGAGATCAAAACAAGCCAATATCGATACTGACATGAGCAATCTTCCAATCAGCGGTAATTGGATCGCGAGGATATGAATGGCGATTACATTATGCCGGGCAAGTGTGGAAGACTGTACATCGTTGGAGCTCATGACCAACTTCCTATAACAATTCAGAATCCGGGGTCCGCTACGGCTAATAAGTACAGGCTGAATAGAACAGAACGCGATAATCGCCAAAGGCATGCTATATTTTAGGATACAAATATAACGATTAAAACTACAGGACTGCCAAACAAGTAAATTAATCGTGTTGCAACTTTCCAACGCCCACTGCTTCAGCTTCCTTGTTCAAGCTCGCAATCTCGGTTTCTGTGAAAGGAATCCCTTCTGCCATGCGTGTGTCCTGTATGATCTGCTCAATCTCCCCGGGATAAAATATGCGATCCACCCCCTCCATCTTCTCGCATCCAACAACTCGCTGGTACAGGTAATCCATCCGCTCCTTGAACTCGTCCACGCTCATAAACAGGTCCGGCTTGATTGCGACGAGGAAATGTCCGACATCTGCAGGCTTCGAAGGATCGTACGGATTGGTAACATGTCCCGCGAACGCAGAGCCAGAGAGCACACCGGAGAACACATCCATCATGATTGAAAGTCCGGAACCTTTTGGCCCTCCCATTGGAAGCATGACTCCCTGCAGCGCCTTGGATGGGTCATCGGTGCGCTTTCCCTCTGCATCCAACGCCCAGTCCTCGGGGATTTTCTCCCCCCGGCGCAGAGCCTTGTAGATCTTCCCACGAGCAGCGATCGACGGTGCCATATCGAGAATGAACGGACGTTCCTTGCCCGCCGGTGCACCGCAAGCAATGGGCGAAACACCCATGAGCTTCGTCTGGCCGCCCCAGACCGGCAACGCCGGTGACGAATTCGTAAACACCAGCGAAAGCATCCCCGCATCAATCGCCTGCTGCACCACCCATGCCGACATGCCAAAGTGATTCGAGTGCCTGACTGAGACCATGCCGATACCGAACTCGACCGCCATCTCGACAGCGCGCTGCATGCCCATGTGCGCTGCGGTGAAACCGAATCCGTTTTGCCCGTCGACCAGGGCTACGACGGGAGTAATTTGCTGGAGTTGTGGCGATGCAGAGACATCGAGGACTTTTTGTCGAACTCGCTCCATGTACGATGGGATTCGATTTGAGCCGTGGGTGTCGACACCGCGAAGATCGGCTTGCACGAGGCAGTCAGCGACGATTGTGGCATTGTTGCTGGGAACGCCGTTGCCGACCAGCACGTCGTGCACAAATGTTTTGAGATCAGAAGACCTAATGTGGTGAATTGGGGAAGATGGATCTGTCATTTTTATATACTAAAGCGTTAATGTTTTGTTGTTGAGATTATACAACTCGATCAAGTACCCATGGGGGGGGGGTATCTTATATGATTGAGGGGCATGTTCGGTTGCTACCCGTGTGGACGGGAGAATCCCGCGGCTCTTGGCGTGGGTAAAAACTGCATGAAATTAGTGCGACGCCAACAACGGAGTCTATCATAATACCGAAAACGTAAACGCCTTATTTTGCTTACGCTACGTGTATAGGAAGCTCATATTTACAAAGTGCTATTAATCATTCCCGGTGGCCATTTTTGGAATAAGTACAATGTGGTGAATGTGCCAGGAGGGGGGAAAAGAAAGAGAGAAAGAAAAAAAAAGTATATTTCGATGCTAGGAACAATATAAACCACTCAAGCTAGGCCTGTCGCTGTTAGAAAGTCAAAATCTGCTCCCTCGTGGGCTTGGTTGACAGCCCGTTCGTACAAGCCCCAATATCCTCTTCTAGTCTGTCGTTCTTTCCATGAACGACTTGTGCTTAAAATCTCCCGTCGACGTTGTTCAATCCTGGCCTGGAGCTCTTCATCACTGGTATTCACCTGTAGAATCCTTTTCTCGGCATCGAACACAATCAGGTCGCCGGATCGAATAACCCCAAATGGTGACTCCGGGACCGCAGATTCAGGCGAAATGTGCAAAACAATCGTTCCTCCTGCCGTACCAGACATACGCCCATCCGAGATGCGTAACATATCCGTGACTCCACTCGCAGCGAGTTTGCGTGGGATAGGTATCATGCCCGCCTCCGGCATTCCAGGGTTGCCGATAGGCCCGATGCCCTTGAGCACGAGGACTGAATCTGCCGTGACAACGAGTTCAGGATCATCGAGACGCAAAGCCATGTCTTGTGAGTTCTCGAAAACCACCGCAAAACCTGTGTGGCGAAGGAGTCGCTTGTCTTTCGAGGCAGAAGCTTTGATCACGGCGCCATTAGGGGCGATATTTCCCTCGACAACAATGAGGGAGGAGGACAAATGCAAGGGATCAGACAAGGGTCGGATAATGCTCAATGAGTACTCGAAGTCACGGAAGGCATGGCGGTCCAAGAACTCGCCGAGAGACTTTCCGGTGATGGTTTTCGCGGAGAGGTGAAGAAGTGGCCGTAGACGATGTAAAAGACACAGCATGCCGCCTGCATTGTGGAAATCGTTCATGTAGTTGTCGCCGCTAGGTTTCAGGTCGACGAGAAGCGGAGTTTGACGGCCGATGTCGTCCAACGTATTAAGGTTGATCGAGCCTTTGACGCCTGGATGACGGTTAATAATGGCCATCAAATGCACCATAGCGTTCGTAGAGCCGCCTATGGCTTGGAGAACAGTTGCCGCATTGTAAAACGATTCAGCAGACAAGATAGCCTGCGGTGTTCTCTGGTTCTGAGCGGCTGCAACAGCATTTGCACCCGTCTGCTCAGCAATCCTAATTCTAGACGCAGACACAGCGGGTGCAGACGCGCCCTGTACAGGAATAAGTCCAAGGGCAGCCGTAATACAAGCCATTGTACTGGCAGTTCCCATCACTCCGCAGGTTCCAATCTATGTCTCGTTAGCACGTGATGTATTATTTGGGGAAGGACAATACGGACCGTAGGGGCGAGCTCCTCATTGATGGCCACGATCTCCTCCATGTCAATGGTTCCTGCTCGATAAGATGCCCAGTTGTTCCTGCAGTCGGTACATGCCCCGATTCGTTTTCCTCGGTGATTGCCTGGCATCATGGGACCCGTGAGAAGAGGAAGCACGGGCTTATTTGCAGATATTCCTCCCATAATTTGCGCAGGAACTGTCTTGTCACAACCTATTTGGGGTCAGTCACGCTTGTCTATTGTATAAATGTACGCAGGCATACCCCCAATCATAATACAAGCATCTACAGGCTGTGCGCGAATCATCTCTTCCGTATCCATACTCATGAGATTTCGCAGAAACATGCTCGTAGGGTGCGAGAATCCCTCGTGCAAGCTAATGGTCGGGAAGTCGATTGCTATACCGCCCTTCAGATGAACGCCTCGTTTGGCAGCATCCAGCAATTGAGCGGCGTTTCCATGGCAGGGGTTGAAGCCGGACGCCGTATTTATAATGCCAATAATTGGACGAGAGAGAGCATCTTCCGAATAGCCAAGTGCCTTGATGAAGACCTTGCGCAAAAACAACGAAAAGTGCGTGTCTCCGTAGGAGGTCAGTCCTTGTCGCAGCCCGGAGGTTGAGGCAATGGGTTTCTGGAGATCGAAATCCTGGCTGAGCTCGCTGGTAGCCATTGTGTCGTTCAAGCGAAGTATCAAACGTAAGTATCTTCTGGTAATCAAATTTCTCTAGAAGAAAAAAAAAAACCTATGATTTTGAAGTGTATCCGGATAACGGATACACGGGGCGCATCCGTCTTGGTGCCGGACGAGCCCCGAGCGCAGCACGACTTAAAACGACGGCCGAGGCTCACAGAAAAACACCAAGCAATCGCAAGGAAGACAAACACAATGCTCAATCTACAAGGTAAAATTGTCCTCATCACCGGTCTTGGCCAAACCAGCGACGAAGGCTGGGGCATTGGAGCAGCCATTGCCACGCTTTTCGCTCGTCAAGGAGCGTTCATTTACGGGGGAAATCGCTCTCTCGAATCCGCGGAAAGAACGAAGCGTCGCATCGAAAAGGAGGGTGGAATTTGCGATGTCGTCTCGACAGATGCCACCGACTCGGCATCCGTGAAAGCCCTCGTCCACAAATGTGTTCGAAAACATGGCCGTATAGATATTCTCGTGAACAACGTTGGCCGCTCGGAGCCGGGCTGCCCAGCCACGATGGCAGAGGACGTATGGCACTCTCAAATCGACATCAACCTCAACAGCGTATACCTCACGTGCCATCACGTTCTCCCGATCATGGAACGACAAGAGTCCGGGGGTGCAATTGTCAACGTTGCCAGCATCGCCGGTCTGCGCTACATCGGGAAGGCCCAAGTCGCGTATTCTGCAACCAAAGCCGCCATTATGCAGTTTACCAAAGCCACGGCTGTCATTTACGCGGATAAAAGAGTTCGACTGAATACGGTAGTCCCCGGATTGATCTACACGCCTTATACCCAAGACCTTGCCAAGCGGTATGCCCCAGGAGGGGACGAGGAGACGTACATGAAGAAACGCGATGAACAGGTGCCAATGGGCCGGATGGGAGATGCGTGGGATGTAGCCAATGCCGCACTGTTTCTAGCATCTGATGAAGCTATGTATATCACTGGGCAGAAGATCGTGGTAGATGGAGCTATAACATCCTCGACAGGCCGTGTTTGAATTTTGTTTTTCTGTATGTAACTACTACTATAGTCGCAATGACAATGAGGTGTGCTTGAACAGAATTGCGCAATACGGTACAGTATCACAATATCAGTTGAATGGAACGTCCCCGTGGTATCCGATGAACAACCGAGCACAAAACATGGGAGGGGGTTGGATCAGCGGGAAAGTCTTGCCAGGTGATTCTTGCGCCAGTATTTAGTTGCCTGTAAGGTATGTAATAATTTAATGACGCCTATTTTCTTTTCTTCCTCCCAGCAAACATTCTCAAAGACTCAAGTCATTCTCACGATGCATCCCAAGCCCCAGATCATTTATCTTTCGCAAATCTTCTTTGTCGTCGGACCTGCCTTTATTCTATACGGTTATAACCAGGCCGGGCTCTCGGCCCTACTAGACCTCCCTGATGTCGTCCGTTACTTTCCCCAGGTCGACACTATCAACACCACAGGGGCTGAGAAGGTACGAAACTCAACCATAAAAGGGTTGGTCAATGCTTGCTTGCAACTAGGGGCCCTTGTGGGTGCTCTGTCCTGCTCGGTAATTGGAGACTCTCTAGGCCGCCGAAAGAGCATCTTCATTGCAGGTTTGCTCGCACTGGTTGGTCAAATCCTTCAGTGCTCAGCGTTCTCTCTGGCACATTTTATCGTTGGACGGGTTATTCTGGGACTCGGGATAGGCCAGTTGAGCGTCACGGTGTCCGTGTGGCAATCAGAAAACTCATCGGCTAGTAAGCGAGGACGCCAGGTCATTGCGGCTGGTATCTTCATTTGCGTCGGTTTTGCCAGTTCCAGTTGGATCAACTATAGCTTCGGCAAGGTCTCATTTCAACCGGTCCAATGGCGCTTACCTTTGGCCATCCCCATCTTGTTCTCACTGGTTATCTGTTTCTCGGTATTCGCCCTCCCAGAGTCCCCACACTGGTTGGTTCAGAGGAATCAAATCGAAAGTGCAATAGACACCCTTGCCAAGCTCAACGGACTCCCCAGAAACAATGAGCATGTCCGATCTGAGATTTCTCGGATTCAACGCTCTCTCGAGGTCATCAAGGGCGCCTCACTCCGGGATATTTTCGCGAGTGGTAAGCAATCGCGGCTTGGATATCGGTTAGTCCTTTGTATCGTGCTGCAAACCCTCCAGCAGCTAGTTGGCGGAAACCTAATCTCCATTTACACCACAACGATCTTCGAGGATAACTTGCACCTCGAGGGAGACCTTCCCCAGTTCCTCGCGGCTATCTCTCTAACATGGAAGTTTCTGTGTTCATTTATCGCCTTCGCTGCCATCGATTATCTGGGACGACGTGTGGTCTTTATTGCCAGCGGAACGGGAATGTCACTTTGCATGACAGTGATGGCCGTTGCGACAAGCTTTCCTGCTTCAAACCAAGCTGCCTCGATAGTTGCTGCGGTGTTCATCTTTTATGTTTAACTTATGTTATCTTATCGGTTTCTTGGGTGGCAATTTCCTTGACACAGCGGAGATTGCACCTGTACACCTTCGAGTTGCCATGTCGTCCATATCGACGGCGAACCACTGGCTGTGGAACTTCATAATCACCATGATTACGCCGGTAGCGTTGTCTAGTATTGGCTGGAAATATTATATTGTCTTCGCTGTTCTGTCTGCCAGTGTCCCCGTGATTGTTATTCCTTTTTTTCCCGGAGACGATGAATCGCAACCTCGAACTGATTGATCTCGTCTTCAGAGAAGCTGCAACAATCTGGGATATCGTTCCGATAGCTCGGTGTCTTCCAAATGGTGATGCTCGAACAGAGGTCGAATTATCTGGCGAGAAAGATGCTGAGATTGGTCGGGTCGAACAGAGGGAAGTTGCTTAACTCATCGGTGAGATAAAAGTTCAATTAACAGATTGATGTGTCTTTCGAAATTTCTCTTTGATACCAAGGATGTGAACAGCTATAGTCATGGCAAATAGTATACGGGATATTACCAGCGCGTATGGAATAGTTCGTTTACAGGGACACCTGATATGTTCAGAAGCGAATGTAAGCACTCACTACATGTGAACCGTATGCATGTTTATCTACAAGCATCCAGCACAATGCCAGTCAAGTCTCAATAACGATCCCGTCTCACTCTCCACTATGTACAGTACATTTGACCCTTCTCCGGCCCATGTCAAGTTGGTTGTTCCCGTTCCTTGCGGGCTTTGAATCTTCGCCATTAGCTCACCATTTGCTCGATGCACGAATATTGTTCCGAGAGTCGAATGCGCAACGAAGATATTTCCCTCTAAATCTAAAGCCATTCCAGCTGGCCCGCCAATACCAAAGTAACTCGAAAATCGCCCAACTCGCTGCACAGATCCATCGGCGTAGAAAGGCACATGCCAGACAGAATTGTCACGAGTCATGGCTATAAAGAGCACCGACCTGTCACGGCTGAGCACAAGGCCGTTGGGCGAAGGCCCGTTCGTGAGGATATGGTCGAGTTTGCCATCGGGGTGAAGTCGATAGACTCTACCGGTTGGGTCATGGAGGCCGGTCATTCCCTGATCGGTAAAGAAGATGGTACCGTCATCACTGACCACCAAATTATTAGGTCCTTTAAATCGCTCGCCATGGTAGCGAGAGGCGAGTGTTTCAAATTGTTTAGTTTCGGGATCGAGAGACAGGATGCCTTGCTTAAAGTCGGCGATCACGATGGTTCGGGAAATTGGATTCCATACCATTCCGTTCGGCTCACCATCATATTCAACGACCAACGACCACTCGGTCGTAATGGGGTCAACTGAGAAGATGCGTCCGTAGGGAATGTCGGTGACGAAGAGCAGAGCGATGGTTGGCACGTATACAGGCCCTTCGAGAAAAGAGTCGACGGGTCTTCCACGTTTCTGATTTTGCGAATGCTCTGACGTGCCTGGGCGTCGAAATTTCTCAGGAAGAGATGTCCATAGCTCAGCAATGACGTTAAGATATTCCAATCTTTCCATATTGTGCGTTGAGTGCTTTGCGGCGAAAAGAAAGTCACCGTTGACAGCCTACATATCCACCATATACGAACACTGACACCTCCAATGCAATGCGATTTCACCTGGCTTCTCGGTTATCCCCCAAGCTGTCAAAATATTGGCCAACAAAAACGAAATTTTTCGAGCCTCGGTAGTCGCGATTCCTTAGAGATGCGCAGCCATGCTTAGTTCTCGGTGGTTATCCGTGATCGCGGAGTTTCCGCACCTGGTGCGCTTACATCCCGTCGAATCAACACCGAGGTAGTTTTATAGGAAAAGAAAGCCACCAGACATCGACTCTTTTTCCTCAAATACATTTTACACGACAAGCCAAGATATCACAATGACTCTTGTCCACATTGGTAAGTGAGAGCAGCCTTCGTTCAGCGAACGTTGATGCTAATTGACCCTCAATTTATCAGTTTTCTTCAAATTCCGACCCGACGTAACCCACGAACACAAACAGACCTTCGTCACCGAACTGAAGAAGCTCAAATCCCTCCCCTGCGTCAAATATGGACGTTTAATCGTCGGGGGGCCGTCAGTCACCGATCCTCTTGAACGGAGTAAAGGCTTTGAGATTGCCTTGGTCAGCTATCACGAAGGCAGGGAGGCATTGGCAGAATATCAAGCGAGTGACGAACATCATAGGTATGGCACCGGATATGGCTCTTATGATTTATGACGGGACTAACGTAGCTTTCATTTGTAGGATCACGAGCACTTACATGTTTCCGTACAAAGAGGATATGATGCGCTTTGATTTCGTGGTTGATCAGGAAGACGAGCACATGTGTTCTTTTCCCGTTTTGAACTCGACGTAAATTGACAGTTTGGAAAGAAATTAGTATGAGCGACATGGCAGATTAAAACGTTATGAGTATATTCGTGTTGTAGAACAATACATTTAACCACGAATCAATGAAAAAACTCCCACATAAGGCCATCGATATCCGGCATGCCACTCCAACCTTGAAAACCGCCTTGTAGAAAATCGTCGAATAAGTTAATATGATCGTGAGCAACGGCCATGTTTTCGGTGTGATCGTGCTGTAGGTGAATATTCGAATTAACCTGACCATAATCGGCGTTCGTTCGACCAATATCACAATGGATTTCACTCGAGGATGAAGCAGCATGAGTTTTACTGAGGTGAGGCCGAATTCTGTTAGTTGTCGGCGAAGATCTCGAAACGGTTGCTTGGTCATTGCCCATGAGTCTTTGAAGGGTGACATTGTAAAACTCGTCAACGCAGTCGCGTGCTCGGTTTGCTTCTGTCCAGTATTCTCCGATACTGCTCAAAATGTTTTGCGACGTATTAAAGTCGGCTGCAAGCTCATCCACACGGCATTTAGCTGCTGTCGACGGCACTTTCCAAATGCAATAAAGCATGACGAATGTACTTAGGAGGATAGAATGTACGACCAACCGGCTGTAGAGAAGACTTCCGGAACGGTAAAGCTCTCCAAAGCCACGCAGCAGATCGACAGCATGGTGGAAACATAGATCGAATAGGTCTTCTGATGGAACTGGGATAGCTGGACTCGGCCTCAACAATAAGATCATGATCTCATGATATCTGATCTTACAAAGTTGGGCCATTCTGACACAATCGCTGCCCGATCGCTGTGGTATCTGAGAGAGCCAATCTTGCAGTGAATGGATCATATCCCGTTGCCACGAAGAAATATCTCTAATCGGTGGATATGCATATGCGGGCGTATCACGAGAGATGCTATGCATAATGTACTTAATTTCCGAATTCATTCGGGCAAGCTTGAAGAGATGGATCGAGTAGGCAAGTGGTGAGGATTGTGTATGCTGCGACTGAGCGTCATTTGGGACGATCAAGTCGTGATCTGCAATGTCCAATGGAAACTACGTACGTGAGCTTGTATTATCAAGTGCCAGCCACGAATACTTACTCGCAATTCGCATGCCTCATCGCGCACCCCAATTGGTCGGCCCATCATCGTGCATATGACGCGGTCGAATGTATAGGCAACCCAAAAAACACGGGTCCTCATCTCCTGTTCTAGAACGGAAATCGAGAACTCTGGCGATGCGCGAATATCACGTTGTAGGCCAAGATCAATCACACTTGCGAGGCATTGATAATTCAGATTCCATATATTGAGACTGCAAGATGGATTGTGCAACGCATATACCATCAGAAGAAGAAGGCATTGTAGGCCGGTCACAGAGCCATCACCACAAGTATGCTCAACATACTCCATCGCTGCAGAGTAATAACCTTCCACGGGAAGATGAACTTTGTACTGGCGAGACAGATCCAAAGCAGCGATAGCTAAGACCATGAATACCTGGAAGAGGTCTGATGGTCTGTTTTCTTGCGACGAATAAACACGTTCAACGGCATCCATATGAGAAGGTTCGTGTAGAAAGGGATACACCAGGTGAATAGTTTGGAAATATCTCGTAGAAAGCTCAATGGCATTTTCTTTTCGAGGAGGCAATGTCGCTGGTGTATTCAATAGCTCTGTTGGTAAATTCGAGGACCCTGGCACGCTCGCTACCGGCTCTTGTTGATTCCTTCGACGATCTGCCCTAGAGAATATGCGCTTTGCAAAGAAATACCCGCTAGAGGGTCCAATATAGCATGGGCCGCTGCCAGATGAGAGGGATACTAGACCGATTTCATGTCCTTGTTGCGGTTCATCGTTGACTGTTCGTGGAATTGCCGGGGTCGAGGGTTCTTGATATTGTCCGTGAGGAATAGTGACAGGCTCGGTTCGCGATTGTTGACCTGGAGGCGGGCTTTGTGCAAATCCAGAATCAATTACACCGTGACTGCTTGGAACAGCTGTCTGTGGCTGTTCAGCCGACACTCTGGGACCCGAAGTCAGATCGACATCAGGGCAATTTTCTCTGAGCAAAGACTCTGCCCATCTCAACCTGTTTTCCAAATTTGCCAGGTAACTAATGAATAATTAATAAGAGCAGAAGCTACACACTTCTGGAACACTGACAGACGATGAACCTCCTGCTTCCCATCATTCACGCAATCAACTCCCACCTTTCGGCAGGATCCGCAAGAAGGCAAATCGCCATCACACTGCCATCCAAGGACAAGAATTAGTTATATTGTATCAATGAAGACGCGTAACTTGGAGTAGCGTACACGAATCTTTCTACGCTGGCACCTTCGACAAGCGACCCGATTTCGGACCCGTCGAGGCGAATCCATCATTGATAGGGCGCAGTCAAAAACAATTACAAAGTAGATATTTGATATGCATCAATAGCTATAAAAAATAAACCATGGCTTCTCTTCGTGGCTGAGGTGTGCATCCAAGTCGTTTGCAGACGATGAAAGGAGAGCGGGATTTTCCCATTCCGAGTTCTGTTTATACACGTGACTCGGATTTCAACAGCGATCAGCAGTGAGTAGACGCGATTATTTTTCTTTATGTTGCTAATCAATGCACTATATAGCACACGTGAGTCTACACTAATCCAGGCATGGACACTCTTTTCCTTGAGCGGAGACGGCGTGAAATGTCACACATTCCAGTTGCCGCAGATTCGATTCTGGGTGGGAGATCTTTAGGGCTTTGTATGGATTTCTTGACTACTACCGCGGGAAATGGGAGAACTTAATTGGATAGAATCGAGATTTGGGATAACAGTACAGAAAAACGGCATGATAGCTTTTGAACTTTTAATATTGACGGTCGAGTATAACGCCAATGTTCATTGGAGACATTTGAATTATACCGTTCGGAGATGTTAATGCATAAATAGTAGTACGCAATTTGGCATTCCTGAACGATAACGTGTCATATGCTGCTGTCGTTACATTATCCGAAGGACTAAATTCAAGCGACGCCCTTTATGCTACGACCTAACACAGAACTGATACTTCTCCCCTCGATCCAAATACACCACACCACCATCCAGTCCTTCCTGCTGAACGAGCTTCTGAAAGTCCTCCAACGGACTCGCGAATACCTCATAGTCATCGTAATGAATTGGAATCGTCACGTCCGGCTTTATCAGTCGCAACAATTCAACCCCCTGCTTGGCGTCCATCGTCACCATCACTGCCAAAGGAGACATCTTTGGCGATGGCACTGTCGTCCCGCCGAGGTGAATGAGCATCAAATCGACAGGGTGGTCGGGATAACGTTTAGGGATTTCCTTGAGGTCGTTGACCATCAATGTGTCGCCGGAAATGTAGATGCGGTAGCCGGTGTTGAACGTGTTGTTCATTTCATAGCCCAGTTCGACCATCCAACCGTTTGTTGGAGGGATCTAGCCTGTATTATTATCATAAAACATCCCTTCTGAGTCGGGTGGGGGACATACAGCAGAAACGTATTCATTTATTTTCTCTATTGGGCCAGCAACATGCTTTCCAGGCATGCCGGTGACTCGAATTCGGGGCTGCTTTTGCAATGTATCCTCTTTGATATTGACCATGAGTTGGTGAAACGGCTCCAAGTCGTGGACATTCGTAAATGAATCGTCGCCCTTGGATGACAATGCCCTTTTGGCTTGGCTAGTACTGACAATAGGTAGATCACGTCGGAGACTCGCTTCGACCTCTTGATCGAAATGGTCGCTTTATCAATGTCAGTCGGATACGTCGATGAACAGGAGTGTGAGAGCTCACGCGTGATAATGCGAAAGAAGAACGAGATCAATCCGGGGCAGATCACGCAAATCCACAGACGGGTTAGTTCGACGAGTGCTGGAGACGCCTGGGCCGAGATGGACGTGATCACCGGCGTGAAGAAAGTTAGGCTGCGTCGACATCAGTATCCTAGAAACTGACTTTGGGTAAGACTCACATCGGTCAGAACTCGAATCCCCTCCCATTCTCTATGTAATTAGTACCTGGTCAATGAATTTAAAGTATACAAACTAACAAGATTGTTGTTGCAGTCCCAACAAAATAGACGGAAGCATTCTCGCCACCAGCCTTGGAGGGATGCTGCTTTTCTTCTTTGGCGACGGGGAGATGCGCCGGAGGGCTGGCGTTGTCCCTCGTGGGGGGTTTCGTGATAGCCGGATTTATCGTGATTGACATTATTTTCGTATCTTGCTTCTAATAACAGTTCTCTGTCGGTCGGAAAGTTGTATTCAAGTATATAAGGAATATGACCATGACGTCACGGTTATATCCTTATGGAATCAGCCCTCGTACGTCGACTACTCGAGCCGTCAGTCGCCTCCCCGTACTTGATTTCACCCACGTGTCGTTGAGGAGCTCGGCCAATGCGGTTTTGACTTGGCGGTCCGACTCAGTTTCGTTGCTGGCATCCTCGAGCAGTTATTGTCTTTTATCTCTCGTAAAAAGAAGATATCTCAAGCGCCTGATGTGGGTTGAGACTTAGTTCGAGGATTTTGATGGTTGAAGATTTCGTAGCTAACTTGCTATGATTTTCAATGGAAGCATTTTCATCCATGCAACAGCATAACTACACCTCGAAATCAACATATTACTTATCTATCCTAGGAACTAAGACGCTGAAGAAGAATCTTTCATATCCTACTAGAGTTATGCGCCGTAAACTCCGAGGAACACTGTAATCGTTGCTGTACAAACTCATTATCCTGATGCATAATGTTAAAATGAATAGCACCACCTCAGCTATTTTCTCTGAAGACGTCCTATGAGAAGCCATCGACACAGCGTTCATCGCATACGATAGCACTGTCAACGCGTCCATTGCCTGTCAAGTATACATAGTACAGCACTACACCACGGAGAGCTGAAGATGTAGTTTAACTAGGACGAACAACAGCACTGGTATTCGCACACTTACTGCGCATACAGAGTACGATCTAGGTTACTCACCTCTGTCGATGACTACTCCCCAACGTATCTGTAACCTGCCGCATTACTGATTTTTGCGCGTATAGTTCAAGTAGGCACCTGTTCATCAACTGAGATAGAAAGCTTCGGGACGCATACGGGCAGACTTGACGGGCGGATTTCGCCTATCACCACGCCATAAAGTCCAAGCACAAGGGTAAGGCTGACCAAGTATATTCGCGTTCCTAAATTAGGATCGAAATCGTCATTCTGGGCGGGTAGAACCCTCTCAGGCATTTCACAATATTGCCAGGCCAGTCCCGATATAGTATAGCAAGTGAATCGCACTTGGTGGCCCCAAATTCGTGAGCAATATAATTGAAACCGCGCTAAATTGGTGCTGCATCTAGTATTAGCTGCATAAATCCATTTAGCTATTCATAAAATTAACCACTGCTCACAATAATCATAGTTTGCGGCGTGGCTCAGCAGCCTGCAGGATCCGATGCCACCCAGTTCCTGACTCAAGATGTCACTGAGAATAGGCACGCATAAAATTCGAATATGTTGGATACAGACATGAGTTTGAGAATTGAGATTCAGTCTTAGAAAAAAGAATGAGTATTGGATAACGTTACGATGCTGGAGCAGATTGCACTCCTCGATTACTGTATTGGGGCAGAGAGCGGTAAGACGATGGCAGAATAAACACGGCAGAATAAAGCGGTAGACTCAGCCTCCGCCATGACCATGTCGACTTCATCGCGACAACTTCACACTCTACACTCCATACTGTCCACAATGGGGGCTAAACGATGCAGACTCCCCCAAAAAAAGCAAACCCCCAACTTACGTTGAGAATGCACCCTAGAGAACTTGAAACATAAGGAAAACTGCCTTATCCGAGTCAAAATGGGCCGGGGGGGTTTCAACTGTGATTCCTGCAGCATAGCCCCAGTAGGGTCCTGCCACCCCCAAATGGCTGTTCAAGAGACTATTCAGATCGCATGTCGGATTTCAATCAATGCAACTCTTGGCAATGTGGCTTTTGCAACTGTGAATGCATCCTGGATTCCTGTAGGATCCAAATGGCCCCGGGTCTGTTCCCACTGGGCTGCGATACTCCAACAACATGCCCATATTCATTGATTCTTCATTAGAGTAAAATAAGCTCGCCCCATACGTGAGATCCTGGTTGGTCCTGGTGCGCTTCCTGCGTGTATTTTCAGAGAATGCGTAGGTACTGTTGCGATCTTTGAACCCCAAAGGTCAACAACCTTTGCCATACAGCATCGCGATGAAGGCGTGCGCCTGATCAGCCTGGGCCTGGGGCCATCTTTGTATACAACTTCACAACAATATATGAGAGAAAATACTCTATAAAAGAGTGCTCAAATCCATCCCAGAATCGAATTATCCATCAACAACAATCACAACAATCTTCACTACAAAGCTTCCAATCTCAAGGCCTTTCTGCTTTCTACAACTCTTTGCTTTACAGCACCGTCAACTTTCAACCAATCTTCATTCAAAATGTATATTGACACTTCCAAGCTCGCTACTGTGGCTCTTGCCACCATCCTCTCTGCCAACTCTGTCATTGGTGCGCCAGTTGCTGGACTCTCTTCCAGCTTGTTGACCCGTGACCCCCGCGGCGGCCACCACCACTCTAGCTCTAGCTCTGGCGGTTCGACTGGTGAAAGAGTCTCAACTTGGACCGGTGCTCTGTCCGACATTACTGGCATGGGCGCCGACGCTGCGACTATAGCTGAGGCTGCCAACAACCAGAAGCG